GCGAAAGAAGTCCCTTAAAATAAATAATTATGTGTTTTGACTCCGCCCACTTACATATTTATTTTTAATTTTTATAAAATATGAGATATATTTAACTGGTTGAGTACCATATGTCATGGGTAAAATTAAGTTATGTTAAATAACTTTCATCACCTTTTATTTTGCAGACTTTAATGCCCATTACCCTAAGTGTTGCTGCCAATCTACAAATGTAACTGAGTAATTTATATAACTTTCACTTTATTATAAATTAAAACATCACACATATACTTACATCCTACAAACCCTTTTTCTTGCATCGATCTTTCATTAATCAACTTTACACTAAACTTGGCCTTCGGTTATGCGGTTTTCGATGAATAAAACAGCAGTAACTATTTGATATTGGTACTTACTTTAAACGACAGATTCGGAAACATTTTCACGGCTTTTTTTGACAGAGACCGAGTTTGATTTTAGTTCTGCTTAGATAGCTGATGCATTTTGTTTTACACTAACATTGCTTGCAAGTGTATTCCATCAACAAAAGGGGGCACACATAAGAATAAAAATAAAGAAATCATGGTTCAACGATAAATGCAAGAAAGGTATTAGTAAGCGGAATACTTTACTTAAACAATTGAGCATTCCAATACTTGAAAACCTTGAACATTAAGAATATTAAGGACCAAACTAGGATATTATATTTATCAACCTAAACACTAGCCACGGCAGTCAAATATTTCAAATATAAATTCAAATAAAGCTAAAAGTAAAGCATTGGATGCATATCAGATGCATTTAGAAAATTAAAATGTGAATTGAAAAAACACTTCCTTCCGAGGGATCAATATGTTTCCAGAGTTTTACTACTGTTCGTCCAACATTTAAGAATGGTCAAAATGCTCAAACACATCTCGGAAACTTTAGCAAAATCATTTGCAAAAAAACTCTTCTTCTTTTTTTTCAAATAAAGATTTGTAGCATAAATAAAAAAAACACATTTACTTCATCTCAGTCAAAAATGGCTACAGAAAATTGATGTAAATTTTAAAATGAAGAATTAATTGTGCCCATTTCTGTAGATAACGGAAACATTATGGTGACCCACTGGACACGGAATCATTTTATTACTACACATAATTATGAATAACTTTACATAATTATAAATAACTTTAAAGGAATAATACAGACACGGAATCATTTTATTACTGCACATAATTATGAATTACTTTAATAGATATAATACACACTTTCTTTCACCTGCTGGTTCTTGTTGCTCGGTCATGTGGGTTTTGCGTTCATTGAACGCCGCCTTTCCTTGTTGATCTTGTTTATCATATTTTATAATGCCCATGAACTTTTTTCATCTGGTTCTACAATCCCTGTTGTTTTTGAAACATAATTTCATGGAGCTATATTTTATTCATATGAAAAGCTAAAATCTTCTGTATTAAAGCTTTGAGTTTATTGAGAGTTTTTATCTAGTTCAGACTCGGGATCAAATTCCTTTACTTTATTAAAATTAAACAGAAGCCTTATTTGATCATAGTGATATTATGATTATTAAACCATTATGGCTTCATGTAATAATAATGTAATAATTAAAATCTGGAAACAAAGTAATCCCTCGAAAGCAATAATTTCAACAAAATTACTTGAAAATTGCAGACTCGGTTTGATTGATTCTGCACATGAGGGATAATGAATAAGTGCAACATCCCTCACGCCCCCTAGCACAAGCTTGAGCGGTACTCAATTCTCAACACTAAATAGTGCTGGCATCAATGATCACGAAGGACCAGAAAAATATAACAACACTGAAGTGAAGTACGTTTTGTAAGTAAAGCTTACAAAACTTAAAATAGATCCAATATATTGATACATCCCGTATTTTATTTTTAACAAGCTATTTTCAGAACTAGGTCAACACAAGTTTAATCAAGATTTAAGCTTGTAGCAAGTACAGGGAGTATCATCAGACAATTTAAGGGAAATCATTTTTATATTCACTTTTGCATTAAGCAGAACTAATATTGGCTTTACCGTATTGTTTCATCCCTAGTAATTACAAATTTTAACTGCTTGGAAAGCGCACGCTCTCTAGAGGTAGCCATGTTTTCCAATTGCATAATGGGAAGTTTCCCATGACAAATATATAGAAGAGGCTGTCAAACGATTTCATAAGTAAATTATTCACAGATAAGTTGCAGATCAAATATACCAAGGTTACAGTCATGTTATTAAGAGTTTAATCTTTTGATTTATGTAAATTTTGAGAAACTTTAATTCATTTTTCTGATTTAAATTTAGTTTTTCTTGTACTACCCAAGGCTGTTCTATATACACTTTATTGAGCTGTTTACGTTTTGCACACAATTTTTAGGTTGTGTTCAGATTTTCATTGAGTGCACACAGTCAATCTGTGTGTGCATACATAATTTTACTTTGCAACTGAGGATTATATAAGCTCCTGTTAATTCAGCTAGAGCAAGTTTCTGAGATTTTTAGCGTCACATTTGGTTTTGAAAGTAAACATTTTTTTGCAATTGTACGTCAACTTAATGTTTTTTTTTCTCGTTTGCATTTATAAAAAATGACTTTTATCAGTCATTTAAAAGTGAAAGTTATCATTTTGAAGCAAGGAATTTATTGTTTAAACTAAGGCTTGTTGACAGTTATGTTTGTATTTTAAGCTTAATTACATTAAGCTAATTTAACACAGATAAATTTTAAATATTACACTGCTTAATGTGTTGTTCGGACTTTGTTTATGTCATATGTGTTTTGCTGACGTTTTGATAGTTAAGATTTATTTATTCATATGATAGTTAAGATTAATAATAATGAAATAAATAATAACATTTAACTTTACTAAATCTTGGTGTTTCTTATAATAGAAATAGTTTAAGAAAAGGTATAGGTAACTAAACCTTTTAGTTTAAGCTTAGCCATATTTGAGCCACACTTCCCCGACTTTGTCCAGAAATAACTTGAGCAGAGACCTTAGAATCAAACAAAGAGGTACTAAAGCCGGACAGAGCGCAACAACATATTTCATCAAAATGTTGAAGAAGACTTTCCTCCGCGGACTTTAAATTTATTCTCCGGCATTAAAAATTAATCCATCAAATTTTAAAAAAAGTTATCCAATACTTCTGAAATATTAAGGGAACATTTTTCAAAATTAAAGAAGAATGTGAAGATTATATCTGTCTAAAATGAGACAACTTTATAATGCATTTATTTATACTCTTGAAGCAAAGGCAAATAATTTCGACTTGACATATTTTTGACAACATACTTGTAACAAATAGCTTTCTTAGATTATTTATTCCCTATTATATTATGATAAAGCAACTGTTGTTGCGATTTTATGTTATTCTAAAAACCAAGACGGTGAAATTATGTTTAATCCAAAGCCACACAGGAATACGGGAAAATGAAAAAGAAGATGCCTTGGCTTAAGAATCGTTCATTACTCACCCAGTAGATATACTGTTATCAAATAGTGATTTTATATTTTCATTAGTTATCTTATATTATCTAAATGGAAATGAAATTGGGACAAAACAATATCGCACAAACTTCATGATATAAACCCCTTCCTTTACGTGTCGCCATCTCTTAATCTTGAAAAAATATTGTGTGGTTCTCCTTAGATGTCGAATAAGATATACTAGAGTTACATAGGCGATGGTGCTCATTTTGATAAGGTTGCAATGAATATGTAATTGTCAAACATTTCCAACTTGTATGTTCATTTTCCTGCACAGGTTCGTGATAGATATTTATCCTGTCACTTGTATCAATTTCGGCCCGATAACAAGGTGCCGTATATTTTTACTGATCTACGGCACTTGATCACGTGGTATGCATGTTTGTCGGACTACTTTTTAAGAAAAAATATAAAAACTGTCGTTAAATCTTCTGTGTGTAGAATAACGAATTTTGGAAACGTTGATAAAACTTTGTTTGTTTATTTTATTTCACTCTATAATTTTTCAAGCGAAATAAAAATTATTAAAAGTGAAATAAATGTAAAACTTAACTCGTTTGCGACATTAAAATAGCGTACTTGATTTGATTGTTTTGCATGTGCTGTTTGGCGCTACATTGTGACGTCACGTAAACAATACTTTTAACGTCTGTACAGCGTTAACGACTAAATAAAAGATATTGGTGTTCGAATTCATTTTCTTAATTAGACCATTTTCTTTCATTCTAGATAGTTTTCACAACAAAATTCGACAACAAATTGTTTTTATTTATCACATTTTTCAAACAAAATGGCGCCCTCAATGTGAAAATACACAGGGAGATAATAAGAACGGCGAGTGCATTGTTGTAGAATAATGAACGCTTCGGGCCTTCTTTGTTTATATAGAATTATTTCCGATAGTGTGATTAAAGGTAGTTTGCCTAATAAAAGTCTTAAAAAACAAACGGTGACAGGATAAATAGAATAATAGATTGGTGCCGTGGATGGAGAAAGTTTATCTGGCTCTGCTCCGGAATTTATTGGATTCGCCTTCGGCTCACCCAATAAATTCCTCCGCCTCGCCAGATAAACTTTCTCCATCCACGGCACCAACCTATTATTCTCTATAACCGATAAAAATTCACTGTCAGAACCTTTTGAATCAGTCTGTTTTCTAAAACATTTTTAACTTTAAAGAAAGAAACATAATTTCTTAGAGTAAACTTACTTATTTTTTAACTTTCTACTAAGCCCTTTTAGGTTATATAATCTTTTGTTAACAACTATAATGTTCGGGGCTATGAAAATAACCACTCGCAAAGCTCAATTTCACTTAACAGTTTTTTTATAATAACCTATATGTGCTTAGATTTAATAAGATAATAACACATTTTCAGCTGCTGCATCTGAAATAACATGAAATCTTATTATCGCTAATTGCTAACACTTGATATTCTTTAGTTCAGTGTGATCTGTCAACAAGTAAATGGTATTTAATTTTTGCATAAACTGTTTACGAACATTTTTTTTACTCTTTCAGACGTCATATATCGCTGTGTTACGTTTAGATGAATCTTCAACAGGATGGGCCTTATCTTATGGTGATGCAAGAAACAGGGATTACAATGAAGTCCGTGCACCAATGCCACTTAAACTGCTTTATGAACCTGGCGGTGACACTGAAATATATCTTGGGCATACGGCCGTGAGCAAACATAAAGATTATATTGATAGCGCTCACACTGGATACTATTTCTTCACGAATATTTTTTCTTTGCTGACAAAAACCTCAAGAAAGGTATGTACTTCCTTTGAACTTATAGGTATGCGTGGAATAACAAAATATCTCTAGTAAACTACATATAAATAAAAAAGTTCCAAGCGTTGTTTTTGCAATTGTTAAATTTAAGTCCCCCTCCCCCTAAAAATTAGGATTTTACTGTAATTGTATCGATTCGTGTGTACATACGTACTTACATACGCATGTCACTTCTTCCGGTCTTACCAATAACTCAAGGAAAATGCTCTCGTTAATATCCATGTTTGTGAATTTTGTCGATAAGTAAATAATTCCTAATAAAGTGAAGGTCAATAGGTTAAATGCCAATGTCACCAAGCCTCTTACCATTGAAAGCTTGTCCAAACAAGATTAATGTTTATGTTTGCTCTTGTTTTTGTGTCTTTTTTGTATTGTCTTATTTATTTATTATCCCTTATTTTATTTATGCACAACCTATTTTCTTTATTCCTTAAAGCTTTGCAAGTTCGGTTGTCGTTAATCTTACTTTCTTTGCGATTTGTAGTTATTTGGCATATATATATATATATATATATATATATCTTTTTCTTATTTTGCTCATGACCACTACGGTGACTCGCATAGTAAATTGGGGTATGTGTTTCTTGCTTCTGTGTGTGTGTGTGTGCGTTGGTGCGCGCGCGTGTGTGTGTGTGTGGGACTACGTTTCAGTAACGTTTCTAATAAGATCTCATAATTTTTGGTAAAAACTATTCACAAAAGGTGATCAATTACTGCTTTTGGTGGTCATAAAAAACGATTGTTTATGGTATAAATGTAGGAAATATCAGTGATAGGCATACCTTTTTGTGAGCAAATAAGTGTCTAATTGCATTGCAAGTCTTAAGCATGTTTCCTCTAGCACATCTAGAAATGTGCATATCATGGGATAAAGATAAGGGTAAAACTTAATTTGATTGTAGTCAATTTTCGACACAACAATTATATATTTGGAAAAAAATACATTGGAATTTTGGTAACGTTTGGTAAAACATTCAAATGTAATAGAAACAACATCATCGTATTTATAGATATTTTCTTGGTGTTCCTTTATACCGTTTATTTATTGAATGTCTTTATTTCTATTTGTGCTTGTGCAAGTAATTTCATGTTAAGGTTAACACTGTAATTTCGTCATCATGTGTTAATTGGTATTTACAATAATTTTGTGTCTGTTTTCCGGATTATTGCGTTTCAACAAATTTGTCAAAACTATATTTGCTTGCGCGCGTGCGTTCGTGTGCCTATGTGTGTGGAGTTTGTTTCATGAACGTTTTATATCATAAGATCTCTCATTTCTGTGTAATATATATTCACAAAAGGGTACTTAAGTTCTGTTGTTGGTCTTATAACGATTGTTTGTGGTATACATTTGGGGAATATTTGTGATAGACTTAAATTTGTTGGTGAGTATTTAAGTGTCTAAGTGCATTGCAAGCCCAAGCCTGGTTCCTATCAGAGCGCCTTAATACCGTTTCCGTCCTTCCGTCTGTCTCCTCGTACATCCGTTAGCAATTTGGCTTCCGAAGCATAACTTAAGTTCCATTTGGCCCACAATATTTTAGGGTCACAAAGTCAAAGGTTAGGGTCAAAGTGATCTTTACACTGAAAATTTTGGTTTCTGGATCATAACTTAAGATCCTTTTGGCCACAGTGTTCAAACGTCATAGGATGATTGCCAATATTGTGTAGAAGTCCCCTAGTAATTATTGGGTCACGAGGTCAAAGGTCAAGGTCAATATTACCTTAAAACTGAAAACGGTTTTCGCTCAATAACTTAAGTATCAAACAACCTACAGATGTAAAATTTATGGGATGAACAGCAATGTCCAAGACGTGACTCCTATTGATTTAAGGGTCATAAGTTCAAAGGTCAGGGTCACAATGACATGAACACTGACAAGTGTGCTTTCAGCAGCATAACACAAGTTCCATTTGACTTACAGTGTTCAAACTTCATAGGATGATTGCCTATATTCAATAAAAGATTAAAATCTATATATGGGTCACAAGGTCAATATCAAATGACCTTAATATTTTTAACAGTTTTACAACTGTCAAACTTCACTGGATGACCACTTATAATGACAACATTAATTATATGCCATAAAACTTGCTTATACCGTATAAGTGGTTTTTTCTGCGGTGACTTTATTTCTGCGTTTTCTGCGGTCAGTTTCGGCACCGCAGAAATAAAAACCGCAGAATATTTCTCTTACCTGCTACGAAATGTTTCCTACATTGTGACCTGTTTCGTCTAAAGTAATAACGACTAACAAATTTTAACTGTTAGCGGGTTTCCAGTTGTATAAAATTGCTGTCGGCTAAGTATGTAATCTGTGTTTGTTAGAATGTTGTTATTGTTATTAGGCTAATTTAAGAATAAAGATATTTAAAAGCATTCCAACCCATATACTTCTAATCGTTGTATACTTTAATTGTCATCTGATTTACGGTAAACTTCTAACAATTTTATTAAATTAAAATAACTGCCGGGGTATATTTTTTACACGTCAATTCACGCTGATCAAAGATGTATACCTTTCTATTGTTGCGCATTATATTTGTTTGCAAGCAAACCATATAATTCTTTGTAATTACTATAGAGTTCTGCGGTTACGACGGTGAACAAATGCGAACGTGTACATGCATTTTAATAGAGAGGGTAATGTGACATAGACTTTGATTAGACGAGTTGCAGAATTTAAATCACGTTTTGTCCAAAGAAAGTGCCGCAGAAATAAAGTCCGCAGAAATGAAAAACATGCCAAAATTTGGAAAAACCGCAGAATTTGGAGCTCGCAGAAAAAACCACCTATACGGTATTATGTTATACCCCTTGCGTCTTTCCGTCCATCCTTCGTAGCATTTTTACTTACAAGATAACAGCTTGATGGTGGTGCTTTGGAAACAACAACTTTATATATAAGGTTCTTCAAGGTATAAAGGTTCTTCAGCTATATAGGAGGATTGCTTTTGAAGGAGGTAAGAAAAGAGCTAGAGCTTAGATATTTGGCATGAAACATTTCTGGTAGATGTCTACCAAGTTTGTTCATAAAAGCCCTAGTGTCCAAAGTGGCCTTCGCCCCAGGGGTCATTGATTTTTCTTAAATGTATATCGTAAAAGCTTAAAAAAGCTTAAAGCTCAGATATTTGGACTTAAACATCTTTTAGTGGATGTCTACCAAGTTTGTAAATCTATAAAATGCCTAGGGTCAAAATTGACCCCGCCCCAGGGGGTCATTGAATTTCCCTTAATTATTATAGTAAAAGCTCAAAAATCTTCTTGTGACAATCCAAAAACACTATAGATAAGATATTTGGCATGAAACATCTTCTAGTGAATGTCTACCAAGTTTGTTCAAATAAAAGCACAGGGAAGGGTCAAAATTTGCCCCGCCCCTTGTGTAAATCCAAAACAGCTAGAGCTTAGGTATTTGGCGTAAAAAACCTCCTAGTAGATATCTACCAAGTAAAAACTACAAAAATCGAGAAGAGGTAGCGCTTAGATATTTGGCATGAAACATTTCCTTATGCATGTCTACCATGTTTGTTGAAATAAACCCCTAGGGTTAAAGCTGGCCCCGCCCTAGGGGATCTAGGCCAACAGTTCAATCCCTAGCCATATCAAATGTTTGTTTTCCTTCCCTTTTAATGTCATCTTTTTATAAGGTTACCTCTCATTTAGTGACAGGCTGAACTGTTTTATAAAAAGGCTGCCAGAGCTTAAATTAAAAAACAACAACTTCAATTTTGAAAAAAACTTACCAAAAAATTTCCTTGGTGACAGTGTACAAAAATTGTTCAGATTAATCTGTCCCTTATATTCAAATTGTGCTTCTGGGGGTGAAAAGGTTCTCAACTTTGACATTTTGACCTATTTCTCAGGTGATCTATCCAGGGCCAAGTGGGCCCTCTTGTCTCTGTTTGTTATTGTGCAAGTAGATGCATGTTTAGGTCAACACTTGTGTTAGCTGGTATTTACAATGACGTTTTGGAAAAATGTCTGGCAATTAAACTGTCAAAACTATATTCTACATTCATGAAAATGCATATATGTTTTGTTTTTGTTGCTTGTTGACAGTCATAGATCTTAATGTTTAAAGAATCATATTAGTTCAATAAGATATATGTTATTTGACAATCCAACCACAAACAAGACATTTTGTCGAATCTCAGTCTTGATCATTTGTTTTTGCGTCTTTTTATTATTTTCGCGCGTCAAAGATATGTATCCTAATAATCACTACTTTGTTTTATCTATTGGTGTTTGAATTAAAGTGAGTTGGACTAAAATGGAAGATCTGTTATACCAAAAATTATGTCGACAGTACTTTGTAACACACATGACAGCAAAACATGAAATGTATGTGTATTGTTGATGTTGGATACATAAATATAAATACTAGATAAGAAATGTTTAGATTTTTTTCATTTTTTATCATATAATCCACTTTTTATCAACTATTTTAAAATTATCCAAATGATATCTTTTTAACAATATTTTAAATACTGATGTATGACAAAGCAAAGCCATTTTAACGGCATACTAGGATGCATCCGCCTATGATAAATGCTGTTGTCATAATCTGTTTGAACTATGTTCTACTGTGTCCCAAAAAGGTAGTTCAAAGCTACAATGTAAAGTTAAGTGTGACAAATAAATATAAAATGATATTGAATAATTGTTTATGATTATTTCAGGACGATAACATGGTACTTATCGAGGATGATTCAGGTAAAAGTCTTCCAGCAGTAAATGTCTTTGCAATGATTATACAATCATTGATAGATGACATGAAACGTCGACTCTCGTCTCGGTTTACATTTGATGACAAGAAAGATATTTTTTATGTCATAGTTGTTCCAGCGCTTTTGCAAGAAAGCAGGGAGCTAGACCTGATAACAAAGGCCGCATTAAAGGTATTGATATGTTCATTTTCCTGCTTTTCATTAAGCTCAAAGTGTTGAGCCTTAAGATAATGAGAACAACAGGTTTTTCTACCTAACGTTATATTGTTACGTTAAACAAGGGTTTTCTTTTTAAAAAAAATATTAACTCTTCCCCTCGGTACATACTTGCCGCCGAGAGGTACATGATATGATTACCTGAGTGAAACCGAGATGAGTAGACCTAAACAGAAGTATTGTCACGGGTTGCTGTAAACTCTGCATATTATTATAAGCCGTTCAAGGAGTCTTTGGCTAATATTCTGTTAAAATGACATAAAGGTTTATTCTTACTTTTGTTCTTCAAAATTAGGCATGACTGGTTAAATGTCCGAGGTACATATTCGATAGTCAAACATGTCAGCTTTATGTTTCTGAAAAAGGGTATGACTAGCTAGAATACATAAAAGACATAAAGCTGGCTTATACAAGAATAAGCAGTGCACGATGTAATATATTGATTTATTTTAATTTTATTCTAATATACAGGATTGGTAAGTTTCTTTGGTATGTTTAAGTTTCATCGAAATATTATTCAAGATATCAATTTTAAGTATCTTTCGAGTGCACAGTTTTGCAATATTGCATGATATTACGACTCTCAGGAATGATAAACATTTTACATATATCGATGCATCTTTTGCAAGTTTGCAAGGTAATTGCAAATTCTGATTTTTAAGCATATGAAATACACTGTCATGAATTTTGATTGTAGGCAGGAATTGAGGATAAGATGGTATCTGTTGTCACGGACATAGTTGCACTCTCCTTTTTTTGTCAGTTTGCTTCCTCTCATGGCTTTTCAACAGAAGATAAATACCTTTTTGTTAGACTAGGTGGTAGGTAATCATTTCGTCCTTCTTTATAACGTCATAGTTTTCTATTTGCAATTATAAATGAGCTATAAGTAGAGAAATATAATTACGTAATGACCTTCAAACAGGTTATATAGTTTTGTTAATAAATTAAGCAATTGGAGAAACGATACGTTTCCGCATTTTTTATGAACTACTACTTCAAAAGGTAATGTTAAGTAGAAACGCCGAAGTTGTTCATTATGTAAGAGATCGAGGCGCTTAGCGACAATATATGTTTATTCACTCACAAATTGGACAGTAAAAACGTTTTTTATTACTTAAAACATGTTTCCTATTGTCTTTATAATAGACAGTTGTATCAATCCATGTATTCCGTGCAGAAATTAAAAAAGAAAACCATATAAAAATCACTTTAAATATGGCTACAATAACGATTGAAAAAAAAGTACTGTAAGTTCGATCTTTGGAAGTTAATACTGGTTTGCAGAAAACATATGAAACAGTATAATTAGTAAATAGGTTTTGAAGATGGTCGAAAGTTGATTGAATATGTCTTTAAGAGTGGGCAACCTGACTTTGTTATGTAGGTAAATGAAGTTGTAGTATTGTATTTCTTAGATATAAATGTGGGGTTTAAAATTTTGTTAACTGATAAGCAAGCACAAACATGGTCAACCTTTGTCCAAACTGAACTGACTAATACCAAACGCAACAAGCTGTCAAAGCTACAAAATCAATAAAAAAATTTCAGAACTGTTACATTTTTCTTCCGAAATCTATCAAAGACAATTCCTATTCTTATATAATTTTATACCTACAGAGCCACCTTTTTCTTCTCTCATCATTCTTATTTATTCAAAATTTTGAAATTAACTTGCAGATTACTTTAAATTGGTTTCTTAATTTAGTTAATTATTATGATTTTAGTTTTTAATGCAATATATGGTAGATTAATATGTTGTTTTGTAACATGTAAATTAATTAAGAGAAATATCAACATAAAATAATTTGCTTGATATTGTATTGTATTACATTTTACGTTAGGAATAATCGTAAAAATATCTTCAGGCAGGGTAACGCGAAATGAGTCAACATAGAAATTATTAAAATTCAAAAGTCTAATGTTTCCTGGACCAACTGATTCCACTATTTCATTCAGCCAAACATAAATAATTTATCATTTAACTCCATATTTAATGTCCTACAAGGATAAAATATAAATAAGAAATACAATGTAGGAGTGGCTACTACAGGTTCACTTTAATTTTATCGAATAAATAAATATACATTCATACACATCGACGACACTTGAAAAAAAATCACTTTAAACTAGTGAGGAGTGTCTCTGCACTTAACAATAATAACATATGCTCATATTAAAGTCCCATGTCGTCGATCCGAACATTCATAAAATTGTGGTTCCGTGTAATTCCAGTGCACTGTCAGGAATAGTATGTCTTAATACACACAAATGTGTTACCTCAAAGTCAGAACCACAAAACTCACTCAAACTTAGCATCCATCCTTGCAACGTTATCAAAAGACAACAAAAAATTGTCTACTCTGAAAAAGACAAAACAAAGATAATTTCCATATTAAATAAACATTAATCAATACCGTTGATAAACCCTAAAGTAAACATTTTTTTTAACATTATTGTGACATTACAAAGTCCACCATGACATATACAATCTTAAGTGTAATCTCAAAACGAGGTCGGGGTGGGTGGGCGTCTGTGTGTAGTGAACCTATAGTACCTCGAATGGTCAAATACCCGTGTGCATACACCTTATATATTGACCAGTCTTACGCATCGATACGCTTGGTTGACAGCTGAAATACAGCTGTGCTGTCCACAGTGACCGAAAAATCATATTATATTAAAGACCAATGATAAATAAATTTATGTTTTCTTTCATTTCATTCAGCCAAACATAAATAATTTATCATTTAACTCCATATTTAATGTCCTACAAGGATAAAATATAAATAAGAAATACAATGTAGGAGTGGCTACTACAGGTTCACTTTAATTTTATCGAATAAATAAATATACATTCATACACATCGACGACACTTGAAAAAAAAAAATCCCTTTAAACTAGTGAGGAGTGTCTCTGCACTTAACAATAATAACATATGCTCATATTAAAGTCCCATGTCGTCGATCCGAACATTCATAAAATTGTGGTTCCGTGTAATTCCAGTGCACTGTCAGGAATAGTATGTCTTAATACACACAAATGTGTTACCTCAAAGTCAGAACCACAAAACTCACTCAAACTTAGCATCCATCCTTGCAACGTTATCAAAAGACAACAAAAAATTGTCTACTCTGAAAAAGACAAAACAAAGATAATTTCCATATTAAATAAACATTAATCAATACCGTTGATAAACCCTAAAGTAAACATTTTTTTTAACATTATTGTGACATTACAAAGTCCACCATGACATATACAATCTTAAGTGTAATCGCATAACGAGAGCGGGATTGGTGGGCGTCTGGTGTAGTGAACCTATAGTACCTCAAATGGTCAAATACCAGTGTTCAAACACATTATGTATTGACAAGTCTTTCGCATCGATATGCTTGTTGAAAGCTGAAATACAGCTGTGCTGTCCACAGTGACCGAAAAATCATATTATATTAAAGACCAATGATAAATAAATTTATGTTTTCTTTCATTTCATTCAGCCAAACATAAATAATTTATCATTTAACTCCATATTTAATGTCCTACAAGGATAAAATATAAATAAGAAATACAATGTAGGAGTGGCTACTACAGGTTCACTTTAATTTTATCGAATAAATAAATATACATTCATACACATCGACGACACTTGAAAAAAAAAATCCCTTTAAACTAGTGAGGAGTGTCTCTGCACTTAACAATAATAACATATGCTCATATTAAAGTCCAATGTCGTCGATCCGAACATTCATAAAATTGTGGTTCCGTGTAATTCCAGTGCACTGTCAGGAATAATATGTCTTAATACACACAAATGTGTTACCTCAAAGTCAGAACCACAAAACTCACTCAAACTTAGCATCCATCCTTGCAACGTTATCAAAAGACAACAAAAAATTGTCTACTCTGAAAAAGACAAAACAAAGATAATTTCCATATTAAATAAACATTAATCAATACCGTTGATAAACCCTAAAGTAAACATTTTTTTTAACATTATTGTGACATTACAAAGTCCACCATGACATATACAATCTTAAGTGTAATCTCAAAACGAGGTCGGGGTGGGTGGGCGTCTGTGTGTAGTGAACCTATAGTACCTCGAATGGTCAAATACCCGTGTGCATACACCTTATATATTGACCAGTCTTACGCATCGATACGCTTGGTGGACAGCTGAAATACAGCTGCGCTGTCCACAGTGACCGAAAAATCATATTATATTAAAGACCAATGATAAATAAATTTATGTTTTCTTTCATTCCATTCAGCCAAACATAAATAATTTATCATTTAACTCCATAATTAATATCCTACAAGGATAAAATATAAATAAGAAAGACAATGTAGGAGTGGCTACTACAGGTTCACTTTAATTTTATCGACAGAAAAAGAGCGGGATACGTTTCATAAGTCGATGAATAATTGATCTAAATGCCCAGATTTAAAGACACACTTCGTTTAATTTCGTCACTTTCTCTTATGTATAAATTTTTAGATGTCTCAGACTGCCATCTACCATGTTTTTGCAACAATCTTTCACAAACTCCTTGATTACTAGCCGAAGTAGCACCTCCTGATCTAAATGAATGCAAACCAAAATTTCTAGTTTTCAAACCGATAGATGCTAAATTCTTTATGAGAATTTCTCTAGCACGCGTATAAGAGATAGGAGAACCCCCTCTCAAAACATATTCACCTTTTTTCTTGCGAAAACTGACTTTCCTAAATAAGTATTCCCCCGAATCTATATTAATTTTCCCCATTTTTAAATACTTCTTCAAGGCAGTAACAGGACAGGTAAACTTATTAGTTCTTGCTATAACTACTGTAGCTCCCTTCCTTAATTGATCTGTTTTAGAAGATCCTAACATTATTTTGACCTGACTATCACCAATTTCTAAATCAGATCGTTTTAATTGTATTACTTCCGCAAACCTTAAGAATCCAGAAAAACTAAGAAGAGACATTGTAATAAATCTCATGTCCATTAAATTTACATTTGAATTAAAATGTAAAACTAATTTAGCTAAATCTTCGGCCAAAAGAGGCTCTTTAGGCTTAGACGGCTTACCACACTCCCTTAAAATGCCACATTTAATATTTTTCACAAATTCAGAAGAACACGGATCTTCTAACCGGCCATTTTATGAGCACAAGAGATTGAATACAAAATACTGTTTATTTTTGACTCTGACGAACCATAGGTGAAAACTGATGACAAATATAAAGCTACATGTACATCAAGCGCAGGTAAAGAGCTGAAATTGTATTTCTTACACCATGTACAAAAAATTTTAAAATAGCATTTATATTTCTTTAACGTATTTTCCAATTTAGATTTAAATGTGAACTTTTTAAGCTTTACATATTCTTCATGTAATTGTTGTGGTAATCTTAACTGGTTCAGCTTTCGCCATACTCCAACTTTTAACACGTCTGTGAAATGTATAAAATAAACTTCTATTTAAAGCAACATAACAATAACAACCCAGCCCACTTTACGGCAATCTCAAACAGCAAATCATTCAGACCGAGACTTCTGCTACATAAATAGATATAAATACAGACATGTACAGAATTTGTGTACATCAACATCATTCTTATCGATCGGATCGATACTTCGTCTGCATAGGATGCTAGACGGACATGTACAGAATTTGTGTACATAAACCTCATTCTTATCGATCGGATCGATACTTCGTCTGCATAGGATGCTAGACGGACATGTACAAAATTTATGTACATAAACCTCATTCTTATCGATCGGATCGTTACTTCGTCTACATAGGATGCCAGACAGATATGTACAGAATAGTGTAC